CCCTCAATATTCAAGGCATCCGAAAAAAACATTTCTTTTTCTCCATTTAAAGGTGTGGGGTTTGGTGTTAAGACACACAGTAGGAAGTCTTGTGATAATCTGAGGCGTTATGGGGAATAAAGACCTTTCAGAGGACTTCAGGTGAACATGGAGAGAAATAATCATTTTGAGAAAAAAAAACACCATAAACAAAACAAAAAAATCCATCTCACTTAAAAAATAAAAGAGTGAGAAAGTGCACCCGAGGTTTTAATGTAGTATTAGGAAACATCTTTTAAAAAGGCATACATTCTCACTAACAAGAACAATATAGTAGGGAAAAAAATTCTCATTAAAACACATTTTGAAAGGAGAAATCTATGATGAGAAATTTGAGCAAGTCCTCCTTAATGTTTTATAAAATTCTGTGTTTCTTCTTCTCATTTCATTTTTTACGTACATTTTGTAGGGCTACACTGAAAACCTTGAAACTAGCTCATCTTGTCTTCTCTTCATCCCAACACCATAAACAGAACCCAGCTAGATTTGGGTTACAGCTTTGAAAAATAAGGATTAGGTTTTCTCTGTATAACTTCATCTTAGGTTTCTACAAGATTATACTATAGTTAGAGTAGCTTTCCCTTTCTTTGGTTATTGCCCCCTTAGGTATAATCTTATAATCAAAGGGAGGTCAACTGTACCAAAATAGAAGATTGTCAGAATTTATCTGCCATAAATTCTTCCCTTTGGGTTACAGCTTTGAAAAATAAGGATTAGGTTTTCTCTGTATAACTTCATCTTAGGTTTCTACAAGATTATACTATAGTTAGAGTAGCTTTCCCTTTCTTTGGTTATTGCCCCCTTAGGTATAATCTTATAATCAAAGGGAGGTCAACTGTACCAAAATAGAAGATTGTCAGAATTTATCTGCCATAAATTCTTCCCTTTTCATTATATTATGAAGTGTTAGTTCTTAAAAAAAAAAAAAAAAAAAGAAACAAAACACTATGTGTTATCCAAAATCTAAGAAATTTTGAAACTAGACATGTAAATTACACTATCTGAATACAAAGGACAGAGTAAGCACTGGATCTGAAGGCTAAACCCAGACAATATTGTATCAGTAGTAGTAAGACATAGTTTAAAATAATTTCATACAATGTATTCATTTTTGACAGATAAAAGATGAGCCACTGAATATGATGGAATCGTCGGATTCCCTAGGACAGTGCACATTGTCCAAAAGTAGCTTCTTACAGTGTAATTCTGTTTCCAGAAGTCAGGGTGAAACACACTCAAAATTAAAATTCTGTGCCTGTCCACAGTGACACTTGCAGAATTCAGAAGGCATTCACTAGATTATCAGTTTGCCACTACCAGTGCTGCTTGAAAATGGCTTTCCAGCTGTCCTGGGAAGACTGCATTTCTGTGATGTACAAGCTGAAATAATTTCTTTTTTAAAAAAGTGCCTTTTAACTACTAAAAGAAAATGTCATCACCTGATTTTTATGATCTTATTTGTCTCTATACATGACACAAATGTTCAGTACAACCACATTACAAGGAAAGATGCATAAAACCTCTCCTAAAGAGTCGTAAAACCGTAGGTCTTACTATGGAAAAGACCCAGGAAAAATCTTTCTGACAAATAGAGCTCCTAGCCACTGAGGTTGATACATCTTTGTGATTGGGAATAGATCCTTGTAAGGTGTTGGAGCTAAAATTCTATTCCCATCAAGATAGCCAGCAAAACTCCCACAACTTTCAGTGGAGTCAGCATGTCACCTAGTTTATCTTTGTCAGCTTTTGTTCTGCAATCTTGGTGTTGGCAAGTTTCATGTTATTTAGAGTTTTTCTTAAAAGTCTAACTCACGTGGCTATTTAAAATTCACCTTAACAAGGAAAGATCTTGGGGAGCTAGACAAGACAGTTCACTGATTAATTTCATTGTAAAGCAACAATTTAAAATAGATCTGAAGATGCACACTCTTTTTTACCACTGACTCCATTTTCTCAGTTGGTTAAAGATATATATGAATGTCTTTACTGCAGAAGTCTGAAGGTGAGATGACTTTTTTTGAATACAGTTTGAAACCAAACTTGCGCTTCTAGTAAGTTTGAACTATCTACATTCAATTTCACAAAAGTGCTTCTTTTTTATCCTAACTTCTGGGTTTACTACTTCAGTTATGCCAATGCAACTGTTCACAGGATCATTCTGTAAAACAGATTGCTGTTTTGCATTCCAAAAGCAAAGTTTGGATTTTTTTTCGAAGCATATATAACCACATTTTCAGAACAGTCTTGTAATGAAGTCACTGGAACAATGAACTAGAATCACAGTCATTGGAGCAAGATATTTCTTGCTCAGTCTTTCCAGTAGAATGAAATATATACAATTTCATGGAGTTCAAAGGCTTAAGAGTAGGAAGTTGCACCTTGCTGGGAAAGAACAAATAGTGAAGGGAGGCAGAAAAGGCAGTTAACATTTTTCTAAGAGAAACTTTGAGATCAACCAGTAACTCTTCGAATATATTTTTTGTCAGTTAGCAATCAATTTTGATCTACCTTTAGACATGTAAATAAAGCATCTACAAGCCTCTCTGAAAACAAAGAAAATCAAGCGAACACTTCTCCATTTCTAAGTGCCACTCAGGAACTTACTCAGAGGTTTTGAGGAGAAGTAAGCAAATCTCAAGTGGATCTTTGTGAGGACCCCCCTGACACTGCTGACCCAAAAGAGTTCAGTACTTTTCAAGATCAAGATTAGAAGACTCAAGACTTAATATAGGTTTTCACATACAAAAGCATAAAGTTAAGAATTGAATGTCATTGTTCTGGCTCAAACTGTACATGCAATGAATATACTTTGAAGTTGGCCGCACTGACACACAAATGCATGCACCTCAGGTAATCATCTATATCATCTGCCCATGCACACAGGTATCATCCTACAGTGTCACAATTGCCTTCTTCACTTAGTCCTTCCATTCTTCTGTTGAGTCTTGTTTATAGATTTTTCATGTCTTGAAAAACAAGTCTACCTGTCTCCTTGTACACCATTCTGAATGCTGATAATCTAATACTACAATACTGTAGTTACTGTAACAGGGCAGCACTACCATACTCATAATCCAATTGCTAAAAGCATCTGACTTGGGAGCAAAAGCAGTGGAGCAATTGAACAGTCACATTTGAAGAAACAGAAAAGGGCTGGTAAATAGAAATGAAATCATGCTTGTACTCAAAATAACCTAACAAGTGAAATTATGCAAAATACTTATAGTCTTTTTTTGAGGTTTAAATGAAAACTGTGATGCCATCTAAATATGCAAAGTAGTTTATTTTTCTTTGATGCTCTTGCTTTTGCTTCACGTGCTGCATATAAAACTAGAATGAGTTGGGACTTAATCACTTTTGCAAATCTATAAATACAAGAGTTCATTCTCCAGCACTTCTGACTACAGAATAGCACAAAAAGTGCAAACAAGGAAAATATAAAAATTCCACATACACACCTGACACCTGGACTATTTATGAGCCTGGAAATACCATAATTTGCCAATCAGCTAAACCCATCTAACAAAATAAAAATGCTTGCTGCACTTGAAGTTTAATTTTTTGTCTTAATGATTTCAGGGTGGTGGTTTGATGCCTGTGGCCCCTCCAATCTCAATGGAATGTTCTACACAGCTGGACAAAACCACGGAAAGCTCAATGGCATCAAGTGGCATTACTTCAAAGGCCCCAGCTACTCCTTGCACTCCACCACCATGATGATTCGGCCCTTGGACTTCTAAAGGCCTCCAGCAGTGGATCCCAGAATAGGCCAGGTCAGCACTGCCCTCAGCCACAACACTATCACAGTCTGAAGGTAAAAGGCAAAGGGCTTCTTGAGAGCAACATGTAGAGATGATGCAAAGTCACTTCATTATCACTCCATAACCTGCAAATACTCCCCAACAGTCACCCTACATTTTGATGGCTGGGGAAGGCTTGGTTTAGAAGAAGGTGGCTGAAATGATTGTCCGAAGAACGGGATTCAGCTATTCTGCCCAGACTTGGTGCTTGTCAGTGGATGTCTTTTATTTTTTTTTATTATTTTTTTAATTCAGCAACAGCATCAGACTATGAAGAACTGAAACACATCAACAGTCTATTGAGCAGAATGCTATTCAGCAGTGAAATGCCAACATTATACCCATTAAAAAGGAATACAGAGACACCTTTATTAGAACTTGAATTAAAGCAATCAAGGTGACCACTTCAAATATTGTTTTTCTTAAATGAACTGAATTTGAATAGTGGATGGATTTATGTTAATCCTTGAATCAAATTATTTGTGTGAATATTGTTTTTCATTAAGTCCTTTAAGGACCTGCTTCTCATAAATATACTGAGTCTAACATATGAATAATGATAAGGATAACAAGCATAAATTCTTCAGTTGCTCTGTAGAGGTAAATCAGATAATTGGCATAATCCCTCAGCTAGGATTTATAGTGTGATAACAAAAGTAGCTGTGTTTTGAGGTTTTCCCTCTCTTTCATTAAAGGCAGTCTGAATGTCATTGTAGAATAATTAATGGAAGGTTTAAAGAATGTGAAATATTATCCTAAAGAAAATACAAGATTTTGCATGGAATTTTTCCATCAAAAGTACACAGGAAGGCAAACTGTTAGGGTATATAAAAATTGCATAAATGCATAGCTTAAGGCAATGGATTCATTTTACAGTATCCTTGCATGTGCGCAATTTATCCTTAATTATTTTACTTTTTTTATTACATTTTTGTGACTATCAGAAGCATGCCAGTTCTGCACAGTGCATAGGCTACAATGGTAAAAAGTACTCATCAGAATTGTATAGAAAATAAAGAATTGAGAACTTGTAAATAGCATGTTTATACTTTGTGTAACAGTCATTTTAATTTGTACAGGGAGCCCTGACCTTATGCAAAGGGTGCAAAGCCTCAAAAGGATATAAATATTAAAAGAACTTTAGATGACTGCTTACAGGTTGCTCACAAGTAATTTTGTTCTCTTAAAATGCTGCAGAGGTGTGGGCCTATTGAAAAAGATAAAATTCCTATGATAACCAGCAGCAAAGTATCTGGGTGGCCTATGAGGCTATAGAGACAACTCTTTCATTTACATCCCTTGATGATTTGAATAAAGCCCATTTGGAAGGTAGCTTGCTACTTCTGCTAGACATGAAATGAAAAAGTTTACCCTGCTCCCACTGAAATCAAAAGTAGCATTCTTATCAGTGATATTGGGACCAACATGGCACGCAAAATCTGCATATGGTGAGGTGTTTGTTTGTCTGTTTTTTTTGCTTTGTTTCATTCATGAAACTGTTCCCAAGATCAGGTACCACGAAGACCTGATTCTTTTTAAAAGGATGATGATAATAGAGTAACTGCTCTTGTCTTCCTTACTTTTTCTCATCTTCTTTTGTTTTTTTTTACCCTCTAGCAGTTTGTTTTTATGGAATAGAAAAATACAATACTTGGATTTTTTTAAACACCCCTTCTTAAAAATCACAAAGCCCAACAGGGTTCTCTGGTTTTGTTACAATGTGGTGTTTGTTTGGTTTTAAGTGGGAAGATCTTCTGTGTGCATGTGTGTGTGTGCGTATTTGTATATATTTATATATATATTTGAAATAATCTTGCCTGAGGGTTAATTTGAGGTTTTCTGCTGAATAGATTACCAAACTACTCTTTACTCAGCACTTTCTTCACAGAGCTGTTTGTCTCTGATTCTAGCAGTTGTTTTTAAATGGCCTTCATTTATGTGCAAAATACGTGGTCCATCTTCCACCATATTCTCAAAAGGTATATTTTTGCAGATCTCCAACATAGGAATGCCATTTTTTGCAGATCTTATTGCAAAAGGAAAAACACACTAAAAATAAAAGCATGATATTTACTGTTTATTTATCTGGGTTTGAAAAAAAAAAGTGGATTTGGTTTCCTATCCTTTATAATAAAACATTTTAAAAAATGTGTGATTTGTTTTGCTTTAAATATAACTTTCTGTGACAGGCTGATAACATTTTAAAAGTCACCATCTCTCCTTGTTAGAAATATTAATAAATTTAGACAAAGTCTGGGAAGGAATGAACTTAACTCCAATTAGACTGTCCAGTAATAATTACTTCTAAACTTTCAAATCCATATTTTGTATTTATTATTCAATTTCCTTGATTAAAATCATGAGAATATAATTGTTTTAAGTTCAAACCACACAACTATCAATCTTTCAAATAAAAGGTTTCTTGCATACCACATGTAAAGATATACAAATTGAAGTCTGATGTTTCCCTTGACTTATGATGTGTTCTTCTATCATCCATTTGATAATATTGCATGGCAGTGATAAATCTCCATTGATCGCTTAGCCAAAAATGCCATTTGTATGCCTTTTAACACTACAGCGATCAGTTTTAACATCTCTTTGTAGTCAATTTATCCTCATTTTCTCATAAATTTTTGCTTAATTAAACTTGTTCATTGTGTTCATTCAGACCAACCTAGCTTTTCAAACCAACACTAAAGCTGTGAGGAAATGCATACATAAAAGCACATTTTGCTGCTAACTTGAATGTATGTGTACTGCATGAATTGAAGAGTTGCAATGCATAAAAATGGTCTTTTTGGAGTTGATTTATAACAAAATGTGACTTGTCTTGAAAGATAGTAAAAACCAGGCAACAATCAGTGATGATAATAACTTTATTATTTACCCTTCATGGACAATTTTTTTTTCCTGATTTATAAAACAAGAACACACAAAATTTTCACAAGCCAATAGATGTGTTTTCCATAGCATATATAGACCCTTAACTTTTAGTATCTTCTGAGGCTGGAGATGTAATTTAAATGCACACTTTATTAAGTGCCCTAGCACTGGCCTATTAAGTAGGAAAGTCATCTACATTTTGAGTCATTTGTACAACAGGTTCCCAAGACACATTTCCTTACAAAACCCTACCAGCTATAATATCAACTTTCTTCTCTTCAGACTTGCAGATCAAACCACACCTCCAACTATGCCTCAAATAATGACATTTGGGATTGGCACAGCATCTCCTTATCCTTTGGGAAGAACAAAACTGAAACAGCAATCACAACAGTAATTTAACTCTCTAGGTAGGACCCAGCACAACTTACAACCAATCTGTGCTGCAGTTGTGCCAAAAGGCATTCTTACCTACCAGCTTTTAAATGAGTCAGACAACTTCAGAAGAGAGGTAATACAGCTGATACTGATGTTGTTGCCTGACTCTGACCTATGGTGTGCACACAGACATACAAACCTGTGTGTCTGAAGAAAGCTTGACAGAGCTAATCAAAATGTCATTTTCTAAATTTTGTCAAAAGGAACTGTAATCAGGCCAAAAAAATCCAAAAAGCACAAAAAATGAAATAAATGAAAAGTACAGATGGCAAGAAGCAAGAGCAGAAAGGAGAGAAGACAGATGATGAAGTGTTAAAGGGAAGGGATTACTTGTGAGACATAGCAGCTTCATATATTGTGTAACACCACTGTCACATGGTGTGGGAAATCCCTTCACCTCTAGGAGTGTCCAGATCCTCTCCTCCTAGCTCTTGCTCATATGAGAACGAATCTATGAGTCTTATTTGCTTTTGTATGCTTTGAGAAGTTTGTTTGTCAGTGTGCTTTTTAAATTTCTGCACAGGGAGCAATTTAGAACAGATCTTTGAGAAGACATGCTGCTTATGGTTATGTCAAGTTAGCTGTGTAGCAAGTCCTGTAAAAATGTAAAAGTTCCTCTAGAAAATGCTGCATTATTTTGTGTGAATTTTAAGTATTGGTAATGAAATAGAACCAATATCCATTCAAAATCTTGTTAAATTAGAGCCCTTATTCTTCAACTGGCTAAAATTTTTATTTTAAACAGACCTTATTTTCCATATAAATGGTCTGTGCAGTTTTCTGAACCAATGAGTTCAATGAAAGAACATATATAT